CCCCCCCGCGTTGGAATTTCGAAAAATCCTTTCTTAGTGTGCGTTTCCATGACGTACCCTAACTGTGTACCAAATTTCACCTCTTTAGGTTAAGCGGTTTGCTCTGGGCGATGATGAATCAGTGAATGAATGAGTGAGTCAGTCAGGACAAGCAATTTTATATATTTAGAAGAATATTTCTCTTTTCTTTACAGTTCACTAAAATAGCAATGAGAAAGCAGCTAATACCTTTGCTAGATCTTATCATGTCTAGCTATGAAGTATATTAAACATATTTCTGCTACTGAGTCATATGACATGTAAGATCTCTGACAGAAAATTAAAAACAGATTTATAATAATCATCACAAGAAATGCATTGCTAAGCTTCAGAAACTACTTATAAAAAGCTTCCAAGTATGTGTTGATAATGATTGTATATAATGATTGTTGATAATGATTGTAAACAAGTGGAGATTTATATTCTCATTAAAATTAGTCTCTAAATGTAAGCATTTTTTTCAAAACATCTTGTGTATAGGAGCTATTTAGTAAAATAAACAATGGTGGCTTAAAAAAGTTTAATATTTTTTAGAAAAAGAGGTTGCCAGTGCTGCAGGGAGGCAGTGAAAAACTAAGAATACAAAGAGTTAAATTAGATATATCTGAATAACTATGGAATGGTATTTGAACTCAATTTTTTGCAATGTACAAATAAACTGCTAAATAGGGATTAAAAATATTGAAATGAGGGTTCTCCAGATATAATTTCTAATCTAAATTTAATGTAATGGTAGAGTTATCTTTCAGACTGTCATGGAAATAACTAGCTAATTGTCATTTATTTATTAAAAGATGTTATTACTTAAAATGATTAAAACAATAAAAACGGGATTAACACATAAATTTCAAATTTTTTAATAAATAATAATTATTATTATTTATAAAAAAATNAAATTAAAAGTAATAATATAATTTAATATTGCTATTTTTACTTACTCTTTTCTTCTAGCAGATTTTCTCTTCTCTTCATTTAGCTCCTTTACTGTAACTTCTTTTACTTTAGCATCAAGAGAAGGATCACTATTACGATCTAATGATAAATCCCTGCTTTCACCCTATTTTATAATATGAATTGATTTAGATATATTTCAGTGTATACTGAAGTTAACTACTTTTTTTTTTAAACATTTACACCATAACTGCAAATATAAATATTTTATTTATATTTGCTTCTATATCATAAATAATTTATTTATTAAGTACTATTATGTGCCTTATAACAATTAAATATACATGCTGCTGATACATTTCTATTCTTTCTCCATTGAAGAAAATTATGAAACAATTAAAAAAGTTATTAAATTTTTTGCAGGGAGATTTTTTTATTGTATATTTTTGCTAAAAATGATGAATTGCTTTCAAATACTAGAACAATTTTATTGAGTTATGTACAACATAGCTTTCATTAACCTTCAACTTCATCCTAACAACAGTAGTTAAAATTTGTTATTTCTAAATTTATTAATAAAGGAAAATAAATATAGAGTTAGACTTATAATTAACCAAAATTACTATATTAATGATTTACTTTCATTTGAGCATAACAAATCTAACAAAATGAATTCCTCTTTTTTAAATTTCATTCACAAAATTAAAAAAAGTAAGCAACAGATTAATGATATATCAATGATGAGATACTATCAACTAAATAAAGATGTAAAATAAATTAGAAATATGCAATCATCTTTATATAACCTTTGCTTATATTTTCTTTCAGTTTCCTTTGCAATCTTTTCTAAGCATTTTTGTAGATCAGGTAAATTTGACTTATAGAGGATTTCCATCTCAAAATCAACTTCTTTCTAATCACTTTAATTTATCTATGAATCATTCATTTTATTTTATTTTTTCCTTCCAGCCAAAAACCAATAACCATCCATCCAGATATGAGCATGACATGTTGGTAAATGAACTCATATTCATACCTCCAAGAATTCATATAACATAACCCTTACTATGAAAAATAACAACAGAAGCAGCAGCAACAATTGAAATTTCTTTTAAATAAATCAAACTAAAAGAATTATGGCTGGAAACAATTATTTACTTGTTTTAAGAATATAAAAAGAAATAATCTCACTATATCTGATACAATAAATATTCTATATGCTATTAAAAACAGTACAATTACAAGCTTATATGATCAACAACTTTTCAAAATAAATTTTATAACTATATCACATCATATATTAAATATTAATTCATTATGACAATATATTGATCTAATAGCTAATTTAAAATATTAACAGCTCATGCTTATCATATAAATTTTACCAAAATTGTTGGTATGTAACAAATAAAAAAACTTACTTCTGACTGAAGCCCTAATTTTTGTTCCAACTGAGCACGATACAAATCCATACGAGTACTGAAGTCTTTGTATTTCTGATCTACTGCAGCAACCCATTTTTTAATGGAAGCTGCATGAGCATGTCCTCTTTCTACAAGACTATCGGCCAACTGAAGTAACAAACGTACTTTCTCTCGAGTTTCCTATAAATTTATTCATTTAGTCAAATTGCATTTTTAACGTTTTAAAATTTATAATTAAGTTGATTTCTAAGAATAAGAAATATAAGGCAGGAAAGACAAAAAAAATTAACAAAAAATTTCTTTGTTTTAAACTATATTTTTAATTATTTAGCTTTTAATTAAAATTTTCTATTAATATTAATCTATCATAATTATTATATAAAGTATCATCCTGATTAACCAAGACAAATTTAACTGAGGTTACACATTATCCAAGACAAATTACAAAATGTACTTCAAGAACAAAAACAAGAATGCAGTTCAGATTATTTCATGAACCTTGGCCAGGAAACACTCAGAAAGATCTGTGTATGTTTAAAAAAAAACTTACTCTACTGACTTTTCATTGCAATAAAAATTTTGATTTAAATCATAAATCTGTATTTATTTTAATAAAAATAATTGTAAATAAAATCATTCAAATATAAATGTATATGCATACCCAAACTCCAGCATATAGCAAACAGTTTGTAAAGAAAAACAAATATTTTTAGTAGTGGAGTTTGATATGCTGGAGTCGTGTTTGTAATGTAAGTATATTAGTTTATCCAATTTTACTAGTAACTTTAAATTTGATTTAAATATAGTTGTAAATAAAATTAAGTGTTTTATTATATAAATGTCATTATGTTCAATAAGTGGATCTATTTAAAAATAGAATACATGATATTCATTAACACATCCAAATTCAGTTTATTTAATAATTTATCAAACATTCAGTGTATCCAAATTTTTAATTATCTGAGATGTCTCCATACCATTCTCATTACTTAGAATAATTGGGATTCTATTGTATATATGTTTGAGCTAAATATTATTCACATTAACAAAATAAAATGGTTTAGATAATGAGTAGAAAAATCTAAATTATAAAGCATTATTGTGTTTTATTATTGAGAGTTTTTTGTTCTGTCAAATTCTAAACACACACATTTGAACAAAGGATTTAAATTTGTGTGTTTAATAGATTGAATTAATACTTATTATAAAAACTAAATTATTTTTACTACTGTTTTATTTAATGTACTGTACACTCCTTTTCTGTTATATTGGAATAATTAATATTCTAATTTTTTCCTGATATTCATAACAGAACATATTACTACTTTGTAAAATGTAGTAATATAAATAAGTAGGTTCTGAATTATATAATTTCAAATTAATTTTAAAACTTTTAATAGTTATGATTAGTTTTGATTTCTTTTTAAATATTTTGCTATTGACATTTATGGTACCTAAATAAACAACCTTTTGAATTATTTATTAAAACTCAGTACTTTTGTCAATTTATAGATAACATTAAAATTTAATAATTTACCTTAGCATTTCCTTTAAATTCATTATGTTCTGTTAACAGAGCTTCTGTTTCTTTTGCATTCTCTCCTAATGTATTTCTACTAGATAAATAATGCTCTCCAATCTCTCTTATCCATTCCAAAGCCTAGTTAAAACAAAAACAAATAGTTATAAACTTAAATATTTACAATAATTATAATTATATTAAATATTAAGTTTAATAATTGGTTATTGCTTAAAAATATATAACTCCAGACTTCAGGTTAACAAAAATGAAAAAAATTAATTAAAACTAATTTACTGAAGCAAAATAATCAACTTGAACAAATACATAAATACATCACAACAATAGTGCTTACAAGCTTACAGTTCATCATCAGGTCAAAGTTTTTAAAAATGTATTGTTTACATATTATAAACACAAAATTGTTGCTTGACAGTTGCTGATCATTAAATTATATTTAATAATTTTATTGGAATGAATGAGAATTTTTCATGCTTTCTACTTTTGATAATAATGGCTCTCCCAACAAGTTCTTGTATCTGAGAACTTTAAAATGACTACTTTGCATGGCAAAGCCTGCAAACAGGCCCTACCAAGAAAAAAAACCAAACATACTGTTGAAATAGTTAAAAATGAGTAATACAGGAAACATTTTATATTCCTTTTAAAAATCAATTTTTCAAAAAAAAATATTTCCTCAAAAATTGATGAAACTTCATTGGTTAATTCTACAGAAATAACCACCGTTTTTTTTTTTGCCTGGTTCGCATTTAATCAGAGACAAAAGCTTATCTTCGTATTCTTTATTTACTTATTTACTATGCATTTCGGGTGCAATATTTTCGTATAACTTGCACCCCTCTTCAGGTTTTTTACATTTCTGTAGAAATAGTAAAAAAGAATTTCTATATTCTTCTAAATATAATTCTATTCTAAAATTTTCTATAGAAATGTAAAAAACCTGAAGAGGGGTGCAAGTTAAACAAAAATATTGCACCCGAAATGCATAGTAAATAAGTAAATAAAGAATACGAAGATAAGATTTTGTCTCTGATTAAATGCAGTCCAGGCAAAAAAATGGTGGTTATTTCTGTAGAATTAACCCATGAAGTTTCATCAATTTTTGAGGAAATATTTTTTTGAAAAATTGATTTTTAAAAGGAATATAAAGAAAGCCGCACCATTGATATATACATATCTATTACGTATAGCAGGAAATATTTTAATTTACTTAACTAGCTTTTCTTTTGTTAATCATTTCCATGGTTTAGGTAAAGCTTCAGAATCTTTTCTTCTTGTTGATTACTTTGTTATGTAGATTGTGGCAATAAATGCATACTGTACTGTACCTCGTCAAATGTCTTAATATTATCTCCTGAATGTTGTCTTATTTAAAAAGACTGACACAATCTATTCTATTTCAATATTATGTTATCAAGCCATTTGTGCCAAACTCATTCATCCTCCCTTTCCTGATTTTGATATAGTATTCGACTAATTTTTCCTGTAATGATCTTGAATTAATATCTGTATACTCCAATTTGTAATTTTATCTATCTTATAACAGGAATCTTATTTGCACTACTGGATTGCTGTTCAGTTGTTTTTTTCCTTATTAAATCTTAGAATATTAAACAAGGTACTATTGCTTTTAAAGTTATACTTAGATTATACTTACTTGCTTTATTTTGTAAATTTTGTAATTTTGTTAATTGCTTTTTTTTTAATAAAGATCAATGAAACCAACCAAATGTGTATTATATAAATGCACATGCTAAAATAAAGCAATAAATTATGATATAGTATCCATTAGCACTGTCTAATACTTAACAACATGAATTTAGTAGAACAAGTTTAAAATAATATTAAAAGTCAACTAATTGTCTTTTTTATACAGTATTTTAAATTTTTGTGAATCTCTTCACAAGTAAGTAAATTTTAGCTTTGCAAATACAAAAAATAGTTGCAAATACTGAACTGCAATTATGAGAAATGCACAAACATGAAGTATTTATTGCATATTTATATATAAAAATACACATAATCTAACCAACTAAGAACTAAATTAAAACAAAATCTAAAATTTAATAATTTTCATTAATTAATTAAATTATTTTTTCCTCCACAAACAAATATTTACTTAGTTACGTTTGATACTCATTAATAATATAACTTAAAATTATGTTTACATTAAAAATAATTACATTTTTTAAATTTTAATTTTAATGGTTAGTTTATATTTATTATCTGTTTAATAATCTAATTTTGCATGGATCTGAAGATAACTTTTATGATGCTTTATGTTTTGATTTGATAATTCAGTTTAAATCAAATTCTAAGTAAATAACTACATACTGCACTATCGATTACAACAGATTTAACGTAATTAAAAATAAATTTAGATTTTTAAATATTTATTACTTACCTGTCTTGCACTACGTTCAAATAGAACATACTGTTGGCACTGATCCAATCTTTTCTTTCTAATAGTCCAGAATTCAAGTACTTTATTTTCTTGTTTGAGGAGTTGATCTAATATGCCTAAATTAAATTTTAATTATGAATAGTTTAAATACAATTTTAATATGTAATAATTATATATAATATAATTAATATCTAACGAATCGTTGCCCCCTTCACTTTAAAATTCCAATGCCCAGGGCCAAGCTAATGCCAAATTCATACTGCATTGAATAGACTAGTGACTAGTATAATGTTATTTGTTTAATTATTGTATAATATAACGAATAAAATATCTAATTATTCTTAATATAATGTTTTACTATATCGCCAGAAAATTGTTTTTCGCCCCCAAAATATAAATTGTTACTAATCACCCCTCAACATGGGAAAACGCCCACATGGGAGCGATATTGCCCCGTTGAGAAACACTGATGTATACCATATATTATTACATAAACGATTTCAACTGTATTTAATATTATGCATATACATCTACATCATATATAATTTTAATTGTAAAATGCTTGTGAATACAACAATTCCTAACTTGCATTTCATTTACTATATTTACAATTTGTTAATATATCATCTTATTGATGATAATTGATTTTTAACAAATGATTCAAGACTTTAGACTGCAATAAATATATTACTATGTCAGTACTATTAGTAATTAATAAATTCAGAATATTTTAGATAACTTTCTTGATATCAATAGTAAATGTTGTTTGTTAAATTGTTCTTATAAAAATTTGCACTCTTTTTAGTGCCCAGTAAATACATTTTGGATAAAAATATTTATTTTTTCATATGTTTCCCAATGATATAAATGTGAAGTCAATACTAGTTTTAGATCTCAAAATTGCATTTTTATGATAAAATATGTAATAATTTGTTTCTTATTTTTAAACAAATTTAATTTTCACCTGTATTTTCCATTGGAAAACTTTAAATTTTACAATAACAGAAAATACTAAAATTTTTAAAAATTATCAGATGTTGGTTACATTTATACTGTAATAAAAAAATTACAGTAAGACCCCGCTTAACGTGGCGGATGCATTCCTAGACGACAAAGCGCTAAGTGAAACAGCATTAAACAAGACCATTTTAACATAAAGTAAATAGGGAAACACGCAACCAAAAATTAAAAAAAAATTTACTTTAATTTTAAGTTATTTTTATATTAATTTGTATAATAATATATGTTAAATAATACAGACAAATGCACACAGAAATGTATAATAATATATTAATTAGTTCATTTTTTGTAACAAAGGTACTGACTGTTCTGAAAATCTTTTTTGCAATAAAGTCGTAAAGTTTCATTTGTCGCTTTTTCTCTCCTTAAGCAAATGTCGGTAGCAGAAGATCACAACCAAAACGCCTCATTTTGAAAGATTTTGAAAGGAGTGCAAAAGCAATTTGCACTCCTTTCAAAATCTAGATCATTCACTACAATTTTATCAATGATTTCAGTTATTGTTACCAAACTTTTACTAAAGAAACCTGTAGCAAGTTCTTTGGATTCTCCGTTTTCAGAATCTCTATTTTCCAGTTCTACATGAATTCCTTGTTCTGCCAGTTCTTGAAGTCATCATTGGTAAGGCTCTTACCAGAAACCTAAAGTAACTCCCCAATATCCTGCTCATCTACATCTCCTGTATCGATTAAGTTGACAATTTTGTCAATCTAACGATACAACAATAAGCTCTTCTCGATGAGAATTCTTGAATACCTTCAGCCATAACTTCTTCCACACTCCTTTCATGCATTTATCAGTTAAGTCTTGCCAAGCCAAGTCACTATTTCCTATGGCATCCGTGATGTTATATTTTTTCCAAAATTGCACAAAAGAAACATGGATTTAAGGGAAGTACAGTGCTACAATGAATTGCCACCTTTTGCTGATTGGCTCGTGTTTTGGAAGAATCATATTATAAACAAATCAATGAAATGCCACGTTATTTTGAATCAGCGTAAATTTTGAACGTTTTTAGGTGTCAAGCAGACCGTGTTATATTGAATCAGTGTTAAGCAAGGCAGCGTTAAGCAGGGTCTTACTGTATTTATAAATATTAATTGTAAATCATATTCTAAGTTAATATTTTTTTTTGCTCAAGTATTATTTTGTTATACAGTATAAATAATACATTTAACANCCCCCCCGCGTTGGAATTTCGAAAAATCCTTTCTTAGTGTGCGTTTCCATGACGTACCCTAACTGTGTACCAAATTTCACCTCTTTAGGTTAAGCGGTTTGCTCTGGGCGATGATGAATCAGTGAATGAATGAGTGAGTCAGTCAGGACAAGCAATTTTATATATTTAGAAGAATATTTCTCTTTTCTTTACAGTTCACTAAAATAGCAATGAGAAAGCAGCTAATACCTTTGCTAGATCTTATCATGTCTAGCTATGAAGTATATTAAACATATTTCTGCTACTGAGTCATATGACATGTAAGATCTCTGACAGAAAATTAAAAACAGATTTATAATAATCATCACAAGAAATGCATTGCTAAGCTTCAGAAACTACTTATAAAAAGCTTCCAAGTATGTGTTGATAATGATTGTATATAATGATTGTTGATAATGATTGTAAACAAGTGGAGATTTATATTCTCATTAAAATTAGTCTCTAAATGTAAGCATTTTTTTCAAAACATCTTGTGTATAGGAGCTATTTAGTAAAATAAACAATGGTGGCTTAAAAAAGTTTAATATTTTTTAGAAAAAGAGGTTGCCAGTGCTGCAGGGAGGCAGTGAAAAACTAAGAATACAAAGAGTTAAATTAGATATATCTGAATAACTATGGAATGGTATTTGAACTCAATTTTTTGCAATGTACAAATAAACTGCTAAATAGGGATTAAAAATATTGAAATGAGGGTTCTCCAGATATAATTTCTAATCTAAATTTAATGTAATGGTAGAGTTATCTTTCAGACTGTCATGGAAATAACTAGCTAATTGTCATTTATTTATTAAAAGATGTTATTACTTAAAATGATTAAAACAATAAAAACGGGATTAACACATAAATTTCAAATTTTTTAATAAATAATAATAATTATTATTTATAAAAAAATTAGATTTGTACTTATTTTTTAAAACAGAACTATCATTTTGAAGAAAAATAATAAATATAAACATGGCCGACAGTTTTAGAACTATCATTGTTTTATTACTAAAAACACTCAAGAAAAATATTTTAAAATGCATGTTTGGTTATGAAGTCTTTTAAGACTTTTCTATAATAAATTACTATAATTAAATTATATTGTAATTAATTTTTTGAAAATAAAAAATTTACAGGATAATTAAATAATTAATTTTTACCTTTTACTTTTGCTTCTGGAATTCTGAGTTTGGATTCTCCATGTGATGTATAATATTGAACACAACGAGCAGCATATTTTAAGAATGTTTCTGCAGTTCTGCGAGCTAATGTACACGCTTTAAGAAAGGCTTCCTTTTGTTCTTGATGTTTTGTTACTAATTGAGAAACTAAGGTCACTTTGTCATGGCATTCTTGCGAAGATCCTTCTCCTCCAGGAGTTCCTCCTCCACCTCCACACCAATCTTCATCACGTCTATATTCTCGTTCTAAACTATCTAACACTGAACATATCTAAAAAAAATATACAATTTTTAGTTTTAATTAAGCCTACAACTTATTTCAAATAATTACATACAGATTATTTATTTATGGGTAAAGACAATTTTATATATTATAGTCAGCTGTCTGTATCATATTTGGAATAATATACAGGTGTACCTCGGTTTAAAACACTTTGCTTTACAATATTTTTGCTAATATGATGTTTTTCAACCACATTTTCGGTAATTATTTTTTGTTGTATTATTTCTTGTCATTGTCTTAAGAGGGTTTTTGAAGTTTACTTCATTTATTACTTTTAATTTTACATTGCTTCTTTAAGCCCAATGTTTGAATACTTAATAAATTATAGTTTAAATATGTTTTTAAGCACAACAGCAAAATAAAATGGCTTACAGAATATTAAAGTCCAACTCAGTTTTATTATGCATAGAATTGATACTGCAAAATGCCAAACAACTTTAATATGGTCACATTTCATAACATACGATATCCAAGCAATAGTCAATTTTCCTGTGTCCTCCAGCATATGTGGTGTAATTGTCTTTATTGAAACAACAATTCTGAGCTATAGTTCATCAAGGAAAGTCACAAGAGTTCTTGTAAACAATGTGGTTCATATATCCCCACAGAAAGAGATCAAATGGTAAGTGAAAAAAGCACGGCAATCAGTACATTATGCTCAATTCATGATTCAGCAGCCAGGAAAATGCCTGTCAAGAAATTTTTGAATAATAAGAACCAATGTGGCAGTGTGTCATCTTGCCAGAGCACCACATTTAGCTGATGATTTTACAACTGCAATAATACTGCTCTATCAAGTCCAGATAATTCACCACTGTTTTTCTGTAAAGAAAAAAAGGGCCCAAAATTTTTGAATATGCAAATAAAACTTTTTGAGTAATGCTATTCTGTAAGCAGTGTTATTTTCTGATTGAAAAGTTATAGGATACAGAAACTCTGACAGTAATTTAGAATTATCCTATATTATTCCAAATTTGTCATCCCAACTTATATAATATAAATGTGAGAATCTAGGACTGTTGTTTCTATAAAACATATTTGTATCTATAGTAATATTTGTTAAAAAAGTCAACAAACCAAAGATTGCAAACTTCAACAAGAAAGTTCATAAGATTTTATGTATGACTTTGTTTCCTTCTAAAATGATACATCTTTCTTCGAATGCGACTTGTCCAAAGAAGTGTTGGTTAAATTGTTGTATTGAATGATTAGTAGGAACCACACAGAACATTGCCAAATTTGGTTAGTTATTGATACTGTCTGACAAAAGAGAAGCTATAAAAGAGGAGGTAATGTCTAAGATGGAGTCTTCTCACAAAGGTTCTCTCCTTTTCAGAGTTCTCCAGATGTCTGCTCATTGAATTTCCCATGGAATTTATATTTGTAGTTCTTATGTAGTTCTTATAATGCAAGCTCACTTTGCTTAGATGGTATATACCATCTAAGCAAAGTGAGCTGGCATTAAGAATTTCAAGATAAAGTATAAGGACTACATGGATTATAAGAAAGTCAAGAAGTATATTTCAATTCAATTGAATGATTCCAAGAAGGCTGACCTACTCAAAATTAAGAGATATTTCTATTGACATGCAAACTGATTGTAAAACTCTCTTTCAGCAGACAGAGAGTTAGTTATTTATACTATAAATAACTAACTCTCTGTCTGCTGTCTATACTTATTATTATATTCTTAGCTTTAATAAATGTCCTTTATTATAATAGTTGAGTTAATCACTTCTAGTTGTTTGTCACTCTAATTTCTCCTCCTCTGTTCTCTTACTCAGAGTCCCCATCCCCATATGATATTGCTTGTGCAAAAAAAAAACCCCAGATGTTTCCTATGAACAAAGAATCACAAACGATGTCAGAACATCCTGACCTAGACATATCCAGTCAATTTTCCTGTCAAATAAAGATTATACAAAGGTTTCTTACTCCAATCATACTAATCAATATTAGAAAAATTATTTAAGATAAAACATGCATCAACTATTCAGGGTATTTGAAGTAATTGAACACACATTCACTTATTTTTACCAAAAAATGTAAAACATTCTTATAAACAATTGCTACAGAAATCGACAAATATAATCTGCTTGCATTTGTCACTCCCATTTTTTTGAATATTTTCTTTTAAATTATTAGAACTAATAAAATGCCAGGACATAATTAAAACCAAGCTTGTGTAGATATTTGCAATTAATCAAGATTTTCTGAACTCTGATGGAGTGAAATACATTTATAATTTTAAAAATCGTAAATGTATTAAGTTACTCTTGGTATTTTATTTTAATTATATTATCCAATAATAGTAACAATCCTCTTTGAAGTTATAAGAGTAATAAAAATTATAAATTTCAAAAAATCAATATATATATGCACACACACACTTTCCAAAATTTTAAATGTGGCAACACTGCACAAGTGTTTATGAATGTCATTTATCAATGTGTCTGAGCCTGCAGTTGGACTGATATAGTCTTTGGCATTCTGTCACAGTGAGTGGAAATATCTCATATGTTTTACCACATGACAAATAAACAGTTGTTTCTCTGAAAGTACTGTTTTTTGATGCAAATGGTATGATCCTACAATATAGTGTTACCCATGGACAGCACCTAATAGTGACTGCTATGCAGATGTCTTAAAAATCCATTTGCATAGACCCATGAGGAAGAAAAGACAAGATTTGCTTAAAAGATGGTGATTTCTGCTTTGAGATATCAGGCCTCATGACAGAACTGACTAAAATTATTGAAACTACACTGGAATAACCTCAATATAGTTCAGACTATTTAGATTTCTATGATTCCCAACAATGAAAAAAACAACCATAAAGAAAGTTCTCAGATGAAGAAATGAAAACACTATGGCTACAACACTAAAAGCAATGTCACAAAACAGTCTACTATACATCTTTGAATCATTTTTAAAACATTGTAAGAAGTATATTGAATATGAAGGATGCTACTTCAAAAACAAAGGTTTAGAGCCCATGGAATAATTTAATGTTCATATATATTCATATACATCTTTCTACATTTATACTATTAAATTACAAACAATCAAAACAATTTTGCATTGTTTGATGTAAGTTGTTTAGTAATACAATCAAATTCCAAACTATCATTGTAAATTAAAATTCATTTATTTAATTAAATCTATTTAATGAAACTAAAAAGTTCATATTCTTACCTGTTCAGCTGTTTTATAAAAATTTAATGATGCCATAACTAATTTATGGCGATCTTCTGCATGAGTCATAAGTTGATGCCATCTAGTATTTACTTCCTCAGCAATAGTATGTATAGTATTTGGCTCATAATGATTTCCTTGAATCAAACTTTCAGCTCTTTCCTGAACTTGCACAGCATTACTGTGAGTTTTCTTAAAATAAATGTTTAAATTAATAATGACATAAATTGGATAAAATTTCAATTAATTATTTAAAATATTTGAGTTAAAGTTATTCAAAATTTTATTCTTATAATTTTTTAATACTAATCTACAGTGTCTACAATTTATTTACTGTACAACTCCTTTCCAAAAGTTTAGAAACACTTATTGTGCTTAATGCACTGTATATATTTTTGCTTTATGATATTAAGAATAGAAGCTTATTGTGAAAGTGTTGAAATTTTATTGAAATTACATGATGCATGCATGCTTCATTAAAATTTGTCATAAGCATTTCCCTTGAAGTAATTTAATTTAGTGCAAGTGATACTACCTGGGTCAAGTTCATGTGTTGAAAGTATAGAAACACTGGTAAAAGGTTGATGAGAAAAGATACCAAATCAACCCTTGAGAAAAAAAAGCAGATATGACTTTAAATGAGGCAGGATTGACAAGTACATTTTCTTACTATCCAACTGCCTCCAGAAACATGTTAAAAAGCTTCTGTTAATAAAACAAATAGCATATTTTTTATTTTTAAAGATTGTGGTTTAGTAAAAGAATGCTATTAATATGCATAGCAAGGTTAAATAATTGTTTTTGGACCTGAAGTGAGATGCAAATAACCTCTGCCACCTTTTGACTTTTTAAGTAAATATGTATAACTGTTGAGTACTTCAAATTAACTTTTATGTTATTCTACCTATTAATTTTTTTCTCTTTAGTTGTATCTAAATAATGTAGTTGTCAAAGAGAATTGTTTTACACCAGACATAAAACAATTTTCTGAAGCTTTTAGTCCAGATTATTCAGGCATAGTAGTGTGGCAAGGACCAAATCTAGACCAGGCATGTTATCAATCTCTACTAAATCTGATATTATTGGGTTAGTACAGAATATAATTTTTGTTATTTACATCTTCTTTTCAAAAAATAAAACATCATTGAGTAATGAAAGTATATTTTGATTATGCAAACAACTTTATCATTAGATACTTGTGATGACAAGGTTCTCTGCCTGCTACTCAGAAAAATCAAGATTTGAATTCTAAGTTGGATACATATTAAATGTGTATAAAATTATTAGACAAATTGGATGATCTGACTTGTAAATGTTAGACCCTGCTCCATATCACTGTTCATTTGGATAAATTCATTATAAAATATGAAATAAAAACCTCATGTTGGCACTGGTTGGGGAAAATTTCCATTCATTTTCAAAACCATAAATTTCAATCAATCAATTCAATTCTTTACTATATGAATATTAGTTTGTTACAAGGGGTAATTTGTTACAAAAACAAAATCAATAGTAATATAATATAATATTTAACAAGTTAATAATTTAGTACAAAATAACACAAAGTAAAATATCGAGTAATAATCAGTTTTTGTAAAGCGCAATGTATTAATAATACCTTTCCAAGCCTTAAACCTTATTAAATACTTGCTTGTCCCTACTATCTCTAAATTTTACACAATGAAGAAATACATTTTCCCAAGTTTCATATTCTTGCATAGTACAGTTACTACATATTTTTTCAGGATGTATTGTTAGTCTGCTATTATATGTTAAGATATAATTTTGACCGCATCTCAAATGAAGGATTAAACGTTTAACATAATAATTTATGGCTATAAGTAAAGAACCATAAATTTCACTAAAATTTAATCAAAATTTAAAAGTGAATCAAAATTAACGATTAACTATTAACAAGTGTTAAAAAAAAAAAAAAAAAATCTGTTGAAATAGCATATAATCTTATTAACTTACTTCAATGGCTATTTGAAACTGTTCATGTTCTGTACGCAGCTGTTCTGCCTCTTGAAGCATTGTTGGTATTATAAAAGATGCACTCAGCATTGCTTCTCCATTTCTTATCCAACTTACAACCTGATAAAATAATTTATAATTTTATACAATAAACTTAATAAAAATATACTTATTATAATTATTATAAGACCAATATAAACTCATAATTGTATTTATTACATCTTTTGAATTTTTTATATCATGTAATATATGACAGTTTTTAAGATATACAGTGGTACCTCAGTATACGTCTGCTTTAGAATACATCCAATTCAGAATATGTCCTGTTTGGACGAAACAAATTTTGCTTGGTATATGACTTTTGTTTGGTATACGACTTAATTATATGCGCCATCTATGAACAAGTAGCACTATCGGTGTACTAGACCAGACTAGACGTTCGCAGTGCCACAGTTTATAACTTGGTTAAATTTCTTCTGATTTTAATTTGTAAGTAAAATTTTATTATTTTTATTAATCATGAATTGCAAAAAGGCAAATGAAAAGCAACAGAAAACTAAAAAATTGACTAGAATCACAATGGAACTGAAAAAAGTGATTGTTGAGAAATATGAAGGTGGCACGTGTGTTTGAGATTTTAACTGTTGCATACCGTATTCCGAGAATGACAATATCAACAATCATAAAAAATAAAGACATTATTAAATCTGCTAACATTGCAAAAGGGATTAAATCAATTTCTAAACAGAGATCAAAGACATTAGATCATGTTAAGAAATTGCTTTTGCTTTGGATAACTGAAAAACAGTGTGCTAGAGACAGCATATCAGAAGTAATTATTTGCGAGAAAGCTAAAAAAATACATGCTGATCTCATGAAAAATCAAGCAGGAAAGCTAGCCAGGAAAGTGAGGAGTTTAAAGCCAGCCATTTTTTTTCATAAGAACAGATTAATCATTTTTACATTACTACTGATGGGAAAGGTTGATTTGGTATACGTCTTATTCGATATAAATCCAAACATCAGGAACGGATTAAAGTCATATACCGAGGTTCCACTGTACTGATAATTTAACAAAAATTTTTTAAAAAAAACCCAAATTTCTGAAATGTGAAATTTTTAATTTAAAACCAATTTAAACATCCTATTTAGGATTAGACACAAATATCATAGGTGCATGCTTGATTAAAACTTTTATCAACTATAATATACAGTATATATATATAATATACAGAACAATTCTTTTAATTAATTCACTAGAGTAGCTTGAAAAATACACATCATGCAATAAATTCATTAACCAAAAATACCAGACTTTAAGGGGATGCAAGATAGCATTATCATTTTCATTATAGATGGAGAACTACAAACTGGTGAAAATGGAATAAACTTCATTTTCTTAAATGAAAATTCCCATTTTTTTTATTGCATATTATGATTCTACTTAAAAAACAAACTGTTATCTGAAGCATTTTTTCCAAAAGATGCACTTATCAGAAATTATGGGTGTTTGACCTTTATTAGCCACTACACCATAAATATGCATATCTGAAGATATGTGTAAAATTCATTAAAAAAAGGGAAAAAAATTACATGGAACAGTACAATGGCCCATACATTTGCCAAACATAACTTCACTTAACTTTTATTTATAGGGATATTTAAAAAATGTCATCTAAGAACAGGAACCAACAAGAGAAGATATGACTGAGAAAATCTGAACAATTTGTACAAACACACCACCAGAATGTGTCACTAAAACCAGACATTTCCAACAGGGAATTGAGCATTCACCATTCAGTGAAATGAAATATCTTTGCAAATCATTTGCAATAGGAGAAAATTGTGATTGACAAGAAGACTCATATTAATTAAGCACTCTGCTAAAAGTATAAACATAAACATATTGAAAAAATTTAAGACCACCTCAAAGTTTCTGAAATTTAAATTAATTAATATGTTTATTTTTGCATTTTTAAATTGAATTACAATAAAATAAATGTAAGAAAGCATTTCTGTCATTCCACAAGTATTTTATATTGTTAGAAAGAAGACAAAATGAAGAAATTAAACATAAATACAGTGAAAACTGCTTAGGCAACCACCTGCATTCCACAGGCACCTGTCAAAACGGAAAAAATTTCTGGCACGGAATAGTTTACTAGTATACATAGAGTCTTCGTATAAGTTACCTGTATTCAACGACCACCTGTGTAACGCAACCACAAGCATCGATTTTTGGTCCGAAACAACATACAACAACTGTAATAGGCAACCACTTCCACAAATATATCTGGTCTAAACTATTGTTCGAACCCATCTCAACAACATTTCCCCCTCCTAATATAATGAATTAGTCTTAACTCTTGTTTGAACCCACCCTGGGCACTTCTCCCACCCTTGAAATTAGGTGCAGGTGTTAATAAATTAGTCTAGCAACAAAGGAAATTCTTTTCAGTTTGTTCGAAAATGTCTGAAAAACAAAAGAAATGCAAAGTACTGTCATTAGAAGATCATGTTAAAGTTATCAGAGAAAGTAAAAATGTGAAAATGGTTTATCACAATGGCAATTAGCGGTGAAGTTTAACTGCGGGGAAAACGAAATTTATTTTACCGTAGACCTACAGTATTTTCCTTATGGGTATAAAATATTGTACACAATACAATTAATCAGTTGATCTCATTATTTATTTATTATTATTATTTTTTGAAGCTTATATACAGTACATGTGCGATAAATAGTTTCTGTATCAACCTACCTTATCTCCACAATATTTTTAGACAAATAATATCCAAGTAATTTTTGCACGCAAAATATTCAAAAAACAATGAACACATTAATGCAAAAATCAGTTTTACAGGCAGCATTCCTTTATCAATTGATCGTACTAATGAAATCGTATTATGAAAAAAATAATAATAAAATCGTTTTATTATTAATTAATAATTTTTCTTATTGTACTTAAGAAAATATTTTAAAAAATACAGTATTTTTAAAGTTAAAATAAGATTAAACTAACGAAAACCAAAACCAAAGTGATGGAGAGATACAACGCGCTTGTATATTGATGACATAATACACATAACTGAGGAGCAAACAAAAAGAACCAATTTGAATTAATTAAGTCAGAAAAAAGAAAGTGTGCATTATAATTGAGAAAATGTGATTATTGTATTAATCTTTAAAATATTGGTATTAAATCTGTCTTATAATATCACGACAACTCCAGTAAATCAACTTATCCAATAAGAATAAAATACAATACCAATATAACACTATCGTTAAAAAAATTCACTTATTTTTGCTCATCTTGAGTTTTACTTTTTAGTAGAAATGGCTAAAAACTGCACAAAATACATACGGAAATATGTTATCACAGGACCACCTATATTGGATGACCACCTGTCTAAAAGACCACTTTTTGAAGGAACCGTGGGTGGTCGCCATAGGTTTTACTGTAATTGTAGTTTTTTATGTAATGCTGAGTTTTACAGTTTTAGAATAAAAATTAGTTTTTACACAAGGTAACTTATACATTTTTTTTAATGTACCTTCTAGAGAGGGATGCATAACCTCACTTAAAGCAGCATGCCTGTTTTTACCATATAGAAATATCTGATTTCATGGTCTCCCTTGAAATATCTGATTTCATGGACCAACATGCCAAACAATCCATAATATATGGTATTTAATTTTTTTTTATTCAAAATGAGTAATTATTTATTGTAACATTGTCATAATGCTGGGCTGCAATTTTTAATCATAATTTTTAAATTTACCTAATTTAAAATATATGTTCGCCACCTCAAATTACTAGTGTCTGTACATCATACTTTTCCTGTTAGCAATATAGCCGTGTCAGTCATCTAACTCATTTCAGGGGAAAAATGAAATAACATGACTCCTGGTTTGCATTGAAAGTTCATGTATAGTTTTTTTTTTCCATATTTGGTCTCTGCTTTTATCTATCTAACTCCGTTCTTGAGATTAAAGAATAACAGACAGACAAATGGGAATTTATAGATCTACAATTTTTTCAAATTGCAGCCTAATAATTAAATTTAAGTCAACTTTTCATTAGTAACTAATAAAAGTGGAATTATTTTGATTATTAGAATGTACTGTGTTTCTTTATGTACTTGAAAGTTTTTCCAAGATAAATTCATTTTATCCATTTTTTGATTCTCGCCATCAATTTTCATATGACTTTTTATAGAAAAATTTTAAATAAAAATATTTGAGTATCCAGTAGAGTCTTTCTTATAAAAGGAATTATAGTGTGACATTAAAAAAAAAACTAAGTTTGTGTCAGAGTCGCACATTGCAAATTTCCTGAAGTTGGAGTCAGACTTTTTCTTTACAGACTCTACCACACTGTTGTAGCTCCATCAATGATGAAAATGATAATGCCATCTTGTGATCCCAATAAAGCTTAACATTTCTGGTTTACTGAATTTTTTTCAGGATGCATATGCTTTCAGTTATTTCAGTGGATTGATTAAAAAAAACCATCCTATATATGCATGTGTACAATTAATTTATTACACAACAACAACCAAGCCTGAATCACTATAACCAAATATCTGAAGGCTGAATTTCATCAGGCTACCTTCTGGAAAAACTTAAAATCAGTGTAAGTAATATAGACCAAAGGTAGGAAATTAGATTGCCATTCTTTAATTATTTAAAATTTTTGAATTTTAATTTTAAAATTAATTGTAATATTTAATATTGCTCAGAACAAATATAATTTTTATTTTTTAATATTAAAAAATTTAAAAAAAATTTATTATTGAATATAAAAGAAAATTCCATCAAAACTTTAAAAAAAATCAAATACTAATATTAAATTTAAACAGTATTCTTTTTTTACCCATTAGTTTAATTTTCAATTTATTACAGAAATTTTATTAAAATTTATTTTATATAAATGCCAATAAAAAATAAATGATATACTTTTTGAAAAATATCAGGTTAGAGTGTAATCATATTAACTAAAGTTAATAAATAGCAATATATTTAAGTCGTACTTGATTTGCATCATTTTCAAACTGATAAAGATGAACACATTGTTCCAATTTAATTCTTTTCATTTCTGCAATATCTTCTAAATCCATTTCTCTTTCATGAAGAAATTCCAGTAACACTTGGACTCTTGTATGTGCATCATATTGACTATCTGCCATTAACTGGATTCCTGATGTTTCAAAAAGCTATTTATAAAATATATCAAAATTATTGAATAAGTATATTAAATCTCAACATTACATTTTAAAAATAATTATGTCCATATAAAATGACATAAGTAATATATAATCCAATATTAAAATTAAGTATAAATATATTATTATAATCATCAACTTCAGAAATTATGAAGTTTTTATGTAATAATGATTGATTGTTATCTTCCATAGTCCCACTATTGAACTACCTTATTATCAACACTAGTGTTAGGTTTCATTTATTACAATAGAGGTAGAAAAAAGTGGCCAATGAGTCATTGGCATCTAATACAAAAAATTGTTCATTATGTCTACACACAGTGAAGGATTTCATGCATTAGAAATAACGTTGACCTGATAAGAATTACAACCTTAAGTAATTTTTCAATTTTTATGACAATCTTTCTTGGTTGTCAAACCAGGGATTTAGCAGAGTTAAAAAGAAAAATAAACTATAAAAGCAAAGCAAGTGAAAAAAAAAAACACTGTCATAAATAATTTTGTGTGTATTGCCCTTTATTTAATATTAATTTTACTATTATGTATTTTAAATTTGAATTCAAAGTTTCATCAGTTGGTTGTAGATTACAATGAAAATTATAATTTGTTTTTAATTAGATTTTTTTTTTTTTTTTGGCATTTCTTATAATTTATATGTATTAAATTTCTATGCCTTGAATTTTTATTTTCAATTGTAATATAATTAAAATAAATAACTTAAATAAAGGAAAAGTACAGGTATCCCTCATACAACATGGTTTAATAATTGAGAAAATCCCCATACAACACACTTTCCCTCTAACATGGTTCAAAAATTTGGAAAATCCTCCATACAAAATTTCAAATTTTTAAGTGCTAACTCTGTTATTTGCTATTTTTTTTTTTTTTTTATTCAAGTATGCACACGTCTCAAATTTTCTCAGAGATTTTAGAATTTGAAATTTTCAATTTGTTTTATGCCTTGTTTACTTTAATGAAAATTGATAGTGCAATTGTTTTTCTTCCTTGTCCTAGCTTTCTTTTTAATCAGGTGTTGTCATTGCTTTCAGACTTTATCCTTTAAGACTGTCACTGGGTTTTTGTAGATTAATCTTTGTATTTAGAAACATTTATTTAAACATTTTTAGGTAAGTGTTATTAAACTTTTTTAACTATAGGTAAGTAATCATTTATAAAAATGATGAATGAAATACAATGGCATCTCAGTAATCAAAGTGTTCCCAACTCAAACAATTCAGTATTCAAACAAAAATTCTAAGGAGAGAGCAAAATCACTGAGAACTCAACGGAACAAATGCAACCAGCTAGAACAAATTTTCAATTGAAAACATTTTTTTATAATAAAAATTTAAAAAATATTAAAAAAACTCAGATGACAATACTTTGTAAAAAGAAAATGCCCTCATTTAACTAAAATTAACATTAACACATAATACAGTACTTTTACTTGTACTTTACTTAATTATTGATTGGAAATAAATTATTGACTGCTTTAAAAAACAGATTTCTCTTAGTACCTAAAAATAACAGTATAGTTTGTTAACTTTTAAAACCTAACCCTATGTTTTGCATTAGTCCTTTGTTTCATATAGCATGGATTCGTGTAACACAGCACTTTTTCAGAATGTCACTACCATGTTATACAAGGGTACCAGTATTAATCATTTCATTCTTTTCCTACCAAGTGCAATTAGTTATCCTGATTATTTTGAATAATTGATGCTCTATTGCATTAATATTAGTAATTATCATGATAGGGCTTTTGATATTAAATTTATACAATCAAGCCAAAACCTGAATTACCAAATTATTATAAATTATAACAGAACTATTAATTATATAATCTAAAATTTATTTAAATTGTCAACAATTTTCATTTTAAAACTTTTAAAGATAAAAAAATAACATTTCTAAACAGATCTATCATTTTTTAAGTTATATTTGGATAAAATATTTAGATTATAAGTAATATTTTACTGAAAGTATGAAGCTATTAAAGAAAATAAATCTTAATTATACTATACATACACATGCAAACATGCAAAAACATTTAAATTTTGATTAATTTTAATCTAAATTATTGGACTTACAGACTGTTTCATGAACTCTGACATGACTACTTTAATATGCATTAGTAAAGACAAGCATCAGAAAAATAAAAGCGAGTCATTCATATGATTATTTGTTTGAAAGATCAAAGTATCCTGATATGATTTAAATATCTTTAAAAACAAATTCTTTTAAAACTGTTAAAAGTGATTAAAAAATGAGTAATAATTCATTTTTATAGATCCAAAATTGGACTATAATTTCCTAAAATTTTTGTAATGGTCAAAAACTTTAGTAAATCACTTTTTGTGTGTGATGTCTCTTGTTAAAATTAATGTTTACAAGATATATACATGTATGATATAATATATTTTGCCTGATCAAGATTATTAAATAACCTGTAAAATAATAAAGAAATTAATTTTTATTACATGAAAATATAAAATTACTTGACATAGCTCTTGTCCTCTCTGTAACACTTCAAATGTTGTCTGTTGCATATGTCCAACGTTATCACTATGAATTTGCAACATTTGTTCAGCTTCGTGAATATCTTGTGAAATTTTATTATGTTGTAATTCTTCTGCCCATAACTCAAGCTGGGATGATATCTAAATTTAATAATATAATTCAATATTTCATAATAATCTTTAAATTTAAAGCAATTAAAAATATTTAAAATACAAAAGGAAAATAACTTAATACAACATTTTAAAACAATTAACATGAAATAAAAAACACAATATATTCAAATAGCCAAAACTTTTAATATTTTAGATTTTTTAAAATCCTTCAATATATCGCCAAAACAATATATTTAATTCTACTAATTACTAATCCTAACAAAATATTTACTAAACCTTCAAATTAAAACATTAATTCAAGTGTATTAATTTCAAATTTTAATTCATTTTCAATGTTCAATTGATAAATGAACTTTAATATGTTTCTTTGTGATTTACTAAAAATACAAATTAATCTCAGGTACAGTATCTTGTATTTATAATTAAATGTATCTGAGTTATCCTAGAAATTTCCTGAGATGACATTTTTCAAATATAAAACTTATATCTAAGTTTATAGTATTTTTTATCTACATATAGATAAAAATTCTTAACTATTGTTAATATAACACAAAGAAACAAATGTATAAAAATATTGACATATGCTTTTTCATTTTATGCTATTGTTTCTCTATTATTATTATTATTGTTATGTTTTGTGAGTTATACTCGGTTCACACTGGTGGCTGTGTACTATGCCAAACCAAAGTCAAGGCATAGCAACCAAAACAAAACAAATTAAAGAAGTGTGTCAGTGTGTGTGTGTCTGTATTCAGGAATTTCCTAACAATGCGGTATGTATTCAATATAGTGGCCCCCCATACAACACACTTTCCCTCTAACATGGTTCAAAAATTTGGAAAATCCTCCATACAAAATTTCAAATTTTTAAGTGCTAACTCTGTTATTTGCTATTTTTTTTTTTTTTTTTTCAAGTATGCACACGTCTCAAATTTTCTCAGAGATTTTAGAATTTGAAATTTTCAATTTGTTTTATGCCTTGTTTACTTTAATGAAAATTGATAGTGCAATTGTTTTTCTTCCTTGTCCTAGCTTTCTTTTTAATCAGGTGTTGTCATTGCTTTCAGACTTTATCCTTTAAGACTGTCACTGGGTTTTTGTAGATTAATCTTTGTATTTAGAAACATTTATTTAAACATTTTTAGGTAAGTGTTATTAAACTTTTTTAACTATAGGTAAGTAATCATTTATAAAAATGATGAATGAAATACAATGGCATCTCAGTAATCAAAGTGTTCCCAACTCAAACAATTCAGTATTCAAACAAAAATTCTAAGGAGAGAGCAAAATCACTGAGAACTCAACGGAACAAATGCAACCAGCTAGAACAAATTTTCAATTGAAAACATTTTTTTATAATAAAAATTTAAAAAATATTAAAAAAACTCAGATGACAATACTTTGTAAAAAGAAAATGCCCTCATTTAACTAAAATTAA